AGAAGGCACTAAAAGAAAACAATTTTCTTAACAATTTACATTATCTTGAAGAGAATTATTAAATATTAAATTATTAAATATAATGAAAAGGAAAGGTGAAAGTAAATTGAATACCAGAACTTACTCTAATTTTTCCAGTTACAGATTCAAACTCAAATGAATTTATAGTTCCTTGTAGGACCCAAGTTATTTCCCTGGGGCTGGAAAGAATTTGTTCAATCATTACTGAGAGCAACTCTGAGTCAGGAACTGTCTTAAAGACTGTTAGAACAAAAATCTCTACCCTTGTGGATCATATATTCTAATGGATGAAGACAGAGAAGAAGCATTAGACATGAAAAAAATTGTATGCTTGAAGATCATAAGTGCTATGGGGGAAAAAAATAGAAGTAGATGTGGGTGGATCTGGGGGTACAACTTGGTGGTAGAGAGCATGCTTAGGATGCACAAAGCTCTAGGTTCAGTCCCTGGTGCATGCATACACACACACACACACACACACACACACACACACACACACATACACACACACATACACAAAGTGGATCTGGATGAATAGGTTCCAAATTGTGGAGACAGGGAGGTTGTGCTACTGTGTGGTATATAAAGTGACCCCTGGGAGGTCCCTGGAGATGATTCAAGAAAAAGAATGGAAGAAAATGAGGGGTTCAGCCAAGACAAAATCTGAGAGTGAATATTCAAGACAGAAAGAACAGTAAAGACAAAGACCAAGTGTTTGTGCACACGTGTGTGCATGCATATGCGTGTGTGTGTGTGTGCGCTCACATGCACAGTGTGCCTGATGGACTTGAGGGACTGCAAAGAGGCCAGTGTAATGAAGCTGAAGGATGGGGGTTGGATCAGGAGATGAGCTCAGGGTGGTTAATGTGACCAGGTTCTGTAGAGTTGTGTAGAAATTTGGTTTTTATTCTGAGCTTTAAAAAGTTTCCACTTTTTTTTCATTATTATGCCCCTTAGAATCCTTTGTAGACAACTTTATTTTCCTAATTGCAGTCTTTCCCATAAAAATTTAATACCACAGATAAATATTTGTTTATATGCTGTGGCATTTTGGGGGACCACAGATCATTGTCATATCTGAGATTTTTTTTTTTCACAGCCTCCTTCTCCCCAGCAACAATTTTCATCCCCTGGAAGGTGACATTGCTTCCATGGAGAATGCATGTTGAATGAAACAGTGAGTCACTGGAAAGTTTGGACAGAGGAATGGCACACTCTCACTTCTATTTTTTTTAAAGGAAATAATTTTTAAAAAAAGATCTTTATTTATTTGTTTAATGTGGTGTTGAGGATCGAACCCAGTGCCTCACACGTGCAAGGAAGGTGCTCGACCACCGAGCTATACCCCAGCCACTGTCACTTCTATTTTTCACTTTTATTTTTATGATCTCACTTTTAAAAGTACCATTCTGGCTGTACTGTTAAGGAAAGAGTATGCAGAAGTGGCAGCAAGATGAAGAATTAGGTAAGAGACTGTGGTGGCAGCTGGAGATAGTGTGCACACATGTCATCTAAGTGACTCAGGAGACTGAGGCAGGAGGATTGCAAGTTTGAGGCCAGTCTGGCAAATTAGTGAGACCCTGTCTCAAAAAGAAAAAGAACTGGGGAGGTAGCTCAGGAGTAAAATGCCCCTGGGATCTATCCCCAGTACTGGAGAGAGAGAGAGAGAGAGAGAGAGAGAGAGAGA